TGCTGTACGGCAGTTTGCCCTGCACAGGCGGGAGCCCATGGGGAAACGTCAACAAGCAAACTGAGGAAGGATTGGAACGCATCAAGGAGCAACAAAAGGAGTTCACCAAACTCTTCAAGAGCTTCGCCAAGCTCGTGCGTGACCACCTTGACTCAAGAACGTCTGTTGCCTTTGAGCTTTCCCGTCGCTGTCGCTATTGGCATTGGCCGTCGGTGTTGGCTTTCATCAAACGCCACAACTTGCAAGGATACAACTTCGATGGATGCATGTTTGGTGTGCGCGATAATCACGGTAATCTTATGCGTAAGAGTTGGCACATATGCACAAATCTTCATGAGCTTGCATGTCTTGAGCAATACATGTGCACACATGATCATACTCATGGGCAAAGTAGAGGCAAGTCATTGAAGAGTGCCGAAGGTTACACGTTCGAGTACACTGATCTTGTTCACCGCTGCTTCAAGCATAGCAGCTCAAGTCATTCTGCCGCCGTCGCGCAGCGCGCCCTGCCAGCGATCATTGTTGATCACACCATGTCGGCTGACCAAGACACGCGCAGGGAGACCTTGGACATCTTCGAGTCGCACTTTCGGCAGATTGTGGCCTCCGGCTACTACCTCGAAGACGGATATTCTGAGGATGTGGACGCGGTGCTGAATGGCGTCCTTGGCCAGCACACAGCACATTCTGTGCTGGCGGGCCTGGTCGAGAAGAACCGATGGCTAGAGCCGGAGTTGGGCCCGTTGATTCGGACCTCACGGTATGATCTAGCCGCCTTCACAGGTGTGCCCACGAGCCAAGACTACCAAACGGTACACGTCTTGATCTCTGATTCCACCTTGTGCTTGGTTAGCGGTTCGAAACGCAAACCCCAGAGGTTCGATCTGGCCGATCACTTCCAGGCCTATCGTCCGACTTACTGCAAACATTTTCATCACGAATGCCTCTGGGGTGCAGAGTTGCCATTGTTGCTGAAACGAGCCCGTATTGCCGTGAGGAGCCTAAAGCGCCAGTTCCCAGGCTGCATGCTGCTGGTTGGCGTGGTATGGGCTGGCAACGAGCTCATTGGCAAGAAAGGAATTGAAGCTCAGACTTCATGGCCCTTCGATCATCCTGACGGCGATCACTACATGGAGCTACAGGACAAGGTGCAAGAAGAGCTGGTCGGGTTTGCCGCCGATATGTTTCGATACGGTGTGCACTCGGCCGCTCTCATCAGCGCGCCCGATCCTGAGACCTACAGCTTCACGCGGCAGGGACCCTACAGCGACTGGTTCAACCGGCTGAGTCAGTGGTTCCAGGATGAGGTGTATGGTTCTCAGATCGGCAAGTGTCGCTTCCGCCTAGTCAACATCAACGTCCTCAACATCCGCATGGACTTGCGTGACCAATGGCATTGCGAAAAATCGGACGAGAATGCAAATCATATGTTCTCATTTTGTCAGAGTGTATTCCACCTGCTTATGAGACTCTACGTTCTCGGAGATATCGCATTGGAAGTAGCTGCCACCATGATGAACCGTCCGCTCGGTGGACTTGAGCTTCGTGATGATCGCCTCCCTCCACATCAGCGATACGAAGAGCTACTCCGAAACCTTGCCGATGTCCGCCACAAAAGGGCAATCGCCGCAGCCGAGCTCACCGCTCGCGCCCTTACCAAGAAGGACGTCGCTGCGGAGCAGCCAAACCGTGCTGCGCCGATTACCGAGGCAGACATGGCCGTCATCGATGATGAGCCCGAAGGGGAGGAAGATGATCCAGACCTTTCGGAGATTTTCGTCGCAAATGACGCCACGGCAGAAAAGATCCTCCAGCAACGCCTTGATGTCATGGAGGAAGAGCAGGAGAAGATTGCTGCAGAGCTGGACATCAACCGAGAAACCTATGAGGGTCGGCTCCAGACGCTTGAGGAACTCAGCCATCGCGTTGAAACTGGTGAAAACCCAGCGGCATGGCTCGACATCGATGCCATCGATGATGAGGATGTATCGCCGTATGAGGAGGTCGTGCCAGAAGAACATGAAGAAGAAAGCGCACCTCATGGTGAGGAAGGCTCGGCCGCCATCATTGGCGAGCCCGAGCCTGAGGCACCCTCATCGCCGCCGGCAGCTGATGCTGACGAAGGCCACGTTGTGTGCCCTCAGTATCTTGCAGACCAATACCACGAGTACACGTACAAGATGGCCGAGGTCGATGGCGCCTTCCAGCAAGTGGTCCAGCTTGGCGACAAGCAATTGCCGCTCCACTTTGCGAGCGGATGGGAGCTCAATGGCGGGCACCTTTTCTTCGCGAAACCCCTCAAGGATTGGCTCACCCAGTTATCCAAAGTTGTTCGACAACATGACCAATATCTGGGCCTTGAGGTTGACGAAGATGGCTACGCAGACTTGGACGAAGTAGCCAGGTGTTTCGGCCTGAATCACCGCAGTGCCCCGCCGCTCACCGTCAAAGACTTGATCGCCATAGCAGCAAAGGACAAGAAAAACCGATTCGAGTTTTTGGGCATTCGAGAAGGGCACAAACTCGAGGAGAAGGGCGTGGCACTATGGCCTTTGAAGATGCGCGCCGCTGCTGGCCAAAGCAAGCACGCGATCAAGAGCGCACAGGACAACTACAGATCGGCAGCCCTGATGTACTGCAGTCCTGCGCTCAGGCCAGAAGCCAAAGCTCCCTTCATTGGGAAGCCCATCGCCAAAGCGGATGAGATCCCTGTCTTGGCCTACCACCGCACGAGGCCAGCGTGCTGGAAGCGGATCGTCAAGGAGGGCCTTATCCCAGGCGGGGGCGAGTTTGTTGGCAGCGATCGAGCCCATGTCTACCTGGCTGCAAGTCGCATTACGGAGACCGACTATCAAAGCGGTCTCCGCGGCAAGCACCCTATTCAGCTTACCGTTGCACTTCGGGAAGCAGTCGATAGCGGTCTCATCTTTTTCCAGAACCGCTCCGGTGGGATCATGACGGTTGACACGGTACCTCCAGAATACATTGTCTCCGTCGAAAACACCGAAAGCCAGTCCACACTCTGGACCAGGGTAAGCGCCGTTGGCCTACCCGAGGCTGCTCCAGCGGATGGAGGTGAGAGCCGGGCCGCCATCACTGGCGAGCCCCGGCCAACCGCAAAAGCAATGCCTGTTTCCCTGACCGCAACCAGCAAATCGGCACCTGCAAGCAAGGCTGCACCTTCGACTCCACCTACTTCCATCGTGAATGTGGCAGAGCAAGATCAACCTGAAGCATCTTACAGCGGGTGCGCTCCGCCTGAGCCTGCGGGGCCTCCACCTGGCTTTGATGCGCCGATCACCGCCCCGACACTTCGAAAGGGACGCAAGCTGACGGTGATCCAGGTCGAATGCAGCCAGTGCAAGGGTCTAGTCCTCAGGGGCATGACCCACTGTGACATTTGTTCAGCCGAACTTGCCACCAACACCGAGCTGCCGGAGGAAGCCGTCACCAGACTTTCAGTTCTCCGAAAGCAGCAGCTTGCGAGGGCCGGCCTCGCTCGCACTGAGTGCCCAGTCAGCGACTACATCAAGGCTGGCCTCAACCTGCGTGTGGTGTCTGCAAGCGGCCGTGGAAACATGAGCCCAGAAGCGATCATGATCCAAGACGCTCGCAGCCGGATGAAGCGTGCAGACAAGTGTGGCTTCCAGAGCATCGAGGATCGCTTCGAGCATGACGTCCAGTTCATGGAACGAATGCTACAAATGGGCTATGACCATCGGGCAGCGCAGCGGCAGGATTGGCTTTGCCGTGCTCACTTGGCGAACCCGCCGCGCAACAAAGCGCAAGTCAGCCTGGGCCTTGGATATGACGAAGATCATTCTCTGGCACGGCTGGCCTACATCGACGTAGCGCCCGATCGCTATCCACAGGCCATGGACTACATTCCTGAGCAATGGTGCGTGATCTATCGCACAAACATCCTCTCCTTGCGTGAGTACATCGAGTACATCAACTCACCCGACTCCCATCGTGGCCTTTTGGCTTGGGACGGTGTGCATCAGATGAGTCAATACTGCGCAATGGAGGAGATTCGCCAGCTATGCCATGACAACCTCTCCGCTGCCAGGCGTGATGTGGTCAACAAGCAGACTCAAGAGCAGCGCCAGCAGCAGAGCAAGGGCAAGCGCAAGTCCTCTACCGGAGGTGATGGAACTCCAGCTTCAAAGGCAAAGGGAGGTCCGCCACCTTCACCGGTGAGCCCACGTGCATCCGGATCAGCATCGTCCTCGTGGGGATGGAGCTCATGGAACTGGAGCGAGTGGGGCGAGCAGCGGCAGTGGGACCGCCGCTCGTGGGACTGGAGCTCGAGTCGGAGCCAGTGGCATTGGCGTTAGTTGAGCCAAGTCTCAACCTTTTTGCCTGAGCGAGCATAATTCATTGCATGACATCCATTGTCAATATGTATGCGGTTTTCCTCCCAAGTCCAAACTTTCAATTTCTTTTGGCGGCGGGGAGTGAATAATTAAAATGCACGTACAGGGCCACGAAGGCAGTGGATTGCTAGCGTCCACAACTGCCATGCAGCTTTGAGCCGACATCACTGTCGCGCCCTGCACAAGCCCTCGTGCACTTTCCGCGTCCAGCTTCGGGAGCAAAGCTACCTTAGCTGAGGGGGGTGTATTTTCACTCCATGTAATATGTACATTTTGTACCTTGCACATAGTAGGATGTCATGTTGACTTTACCTTCGCAGCTCGCGGCCCAAAACAGGAGTTGCAGCTTAACGGCTGTTTCTATAGATTGCTTAATCATCCACAATGAAGAGACCCTTTGACCAAACCAGGCGTTGCTTGTATGTTAAACTGGCTGCAAAAAAAGCGTAAAGTTGAGTAGAGGGTGACAGTGACTGCTCCGCTAGTCAAGACCAATTCAGCATGAACTAGAATGATTTCATGTGACTTGACGGATATTAGCGGAAATTAGTGAGATCCAAATGATCAAGGACATCTTGATCATTTTGATCCTGCATCTCTTGCATCAATGCAGCTGCATTCCAGGTAGCACCAATGCAGCTGATGACTTTGAGCTTCTGGTGTCAACGTCTTAGCCTTCGTTCAAGATAAAGGCTTTCGTCAAACTTGTGGATATGGGCATTTTATCCTGCAGGGTGTGCCGAAACTCTTTGAGCATGTGTTGAATCATGGTGAATCTCTTTAAACGCTTGCGTAGTTGCTTGCGTATGCTTGCCTTCGTACGACTTCATGAGAATCGCAGACTCCCCTTTGGACCAGTATGGGGCCCCACAGGCTTTAAGCTTATTTGCAGCACGGATTTTCGAAGACTCACTACTTACAGGTGATCGGCCATATTTTCAACTGGCCTGGTTACTTTCAAGAACGATGCACAGACAACTGCAGAACAAGTTCATGTTCAGTCTGTCTTTCAAAAGCCGAACTTCCTCAGTTTTCCCAGGCCCTGCGGTCCTGGAGAGATTTTTCCTGAAAACAGATCTGCCTGGGCCCGAAGTTGATGTCTTGCTTGGACAGTTTACAAGCGGGAGACACTTGGATGATCTTGGAAGTAGATGCCTGCCAAAACGTAGTTTCCAGCAGCGGGTTGGCTTCCAAAAGCACCGAACGTGTAGGAGTCGTCGGATCATCCGACTTGAAAGCAGTCTTACCTGCCGAGAACTCAATGGTGTGAGCGCTGCTTTTTCCATCTCAGCTGTTCAAACGCCGTGCTGCGCGCAGTGCAAAGTCTGGCGCTTCTTTCAACCGCGCCAGCACGGTTTCAATCCGACAGAGCCATGTGCCTCACACTATGGCTGATGGCGATGTTCGTTTGGGATAGCTGGGCTGTGCATGTGGCCTTTGTCGCGCCACCTGCCTCGCACTATGCGCCTATGCTGCCGATTGCACATGGGCTGCTGGACGATGGACATCAGGTGAGTTTTGTGGGCTTCAATGAGACTGCACCTTGGCCGAAACTACGGACTGATCAAGCTATGACTGCTTGACAGCTGGAACTCTTGTAGCGGGTTGTCTGGATACAAACATCACATATCTGCAGAAATTGGATGAATTTGGGAGAAATTCATCCAAATCGATCCAAATCGCCTAGTCTGGTGAGGACTTGGCTCCAGACGCTTGTGATCTCAAACACATCGAAACAGTAAGAGCCATATATAAGCGATGAGGCCGATGGGTCCGTCCGGATGGGTCGGCCTCTTCAAGGTACAGAAGATCAAAAAGCTGGTGCCCAAGGCAGGGCTGGCCTCCGGGACGCAAAGTGGGAAGGTGGGAGGGTGGGAGGCTGAAACAAGATCAAGGAAACATGAAAGGAAGACGTAGACATGAAAGGATGTCACATCATTCAGATGACTTTTTCAAAGGACCATTGCGTTCAACTGTGTTCCTTAAGAAACAAAGAACTACTGTATCTGGGTCTTCAGTAAGGGTCCCGGAAGGTCACGGTGACCAATCAGGGAGAGCCGCTTCGCTTGAGCCTGGAAGTGCTTAGGTAGGCATTGGTCCTATTCCATTTGACCGGGAGAAGATGGCACCGATGCAAGAGGTCATCCAGAGCATCGAGTACAGAAAGGCACAAGTCTTGACGACTATGGTATTCCCCATGCTCAACAACATGATGGGGGGTCCAATGGCAACAGCCATGAAACAGCAGTTGATGGACTTGAAGCCAGAGACTTGGTAGACTTGGTCGAATCTGTCTGATACAGCTGGAACAGGTCCCCGAACGCGGTTCAGTCTCTTTGAATCGGGAGGTGTCTGGAGGGATCCTTCACACACCTTCTTCAGTCACAACTTCACACTTTAGACACAGCTTCTCCATGATAGATCATAACAGCTTCCAAGCGGGTAGCGCCAAACCCACCATGCTTGCTCAAGCAATTCCGTGGGTTCGGAGAGGTTGGGACTGGTGTCCAGATCAACCATCCAGTTCATCTATGCAGAGGAACTAAAATAACTTTGCCACTTCCTTGTCACCACTTGAACCCCCGGAAGAGAACCGAGTGGTACCAGAAAAGGATGTTATCAGGTGGCATAGCTGCAACAAAACAGGCTGTGCCAGCAAAACGGTCTCTTGTCATCTCAGGATGTTCTGTGTGTGTCTCACATCTATCCCATCTTGTACGCTTTGGGCGAAGTCCTCCAAATCCCTGTGGTCGGCATCGGCTGGGCGACTCCGAGCTTCTTGACCATGCAGATCGACCTTCCGTGGGCCACGGAGCCCAATGTCGGCTCCATCCATTCACGCCAGGAGATCTACCAGAATCCGATGCTCTTAGTTGAAAACACTCTAGCACCTTGGTGCGCTCAATTTCGATTTTCATCATGTGTTTCGGATCGTTTTTTCGTTGTTTCGGATCGTGCGGATCCTGTGCCAGGTGCGGATCTTCGGGTTCTTCATGCTTCGCATTGGCAGCGTCGTGAACATGTGGTATCGCTTCAAGCTGGGCCATCCTCGGCCCTTGGAGGTCTGGGAATTTGACGCCGTCTTGCAGCATCCGCTGGTTCCTTGACCATATTCTTTATCGGATGAGTCACGCACGCTTCGCGCGTTTTGCTTGAGGACGCGTAAGTCGCGTTTCTTGGGGTGTGTCATATGGTGTGCCACATGGTATCCAACAACCATCCTTTGTCGCCGCTGTCGAGGTGTGTCTCTGTCGACAGATGTGACAGGTCGTGACGTCTCTTCCAGAGCTTTCAGCCGGGATGCCATCGTTGCTGAGCCCCTACACCTTCCCGGTCGGAGTGCTCGATCATGTGGCACTTGAGGGTAGCGGCATGATGAAAAGTGATGATCAAGAGAAGATCATTGCCTGGCTTGATGCGCAACTGGCGGAGCCATGCCTGACGGGTGTTGAGATAAGCTTGGCCTAGACAACCTTCTGTACAGGGTGAAACTTCGTGCATGTTATGTTATAATATATGCTGTGGTGCACTCCACCATCCTAACATGACAGCAGCAGCTGATGTTGCACATTGACAAGGCCGACAATGCCCAATCTCACAGTTTTGCCACTGCGTAAAAACTACCAACCATGCCCAACCAGAATCGAACCAACCCCATCGACAGTTTTGGGGCACACATCATGTGGTGCATGATCAATACCTTGACAGCTATGGCAAGCGTGTATTGTCAGCGCTACATTTGTCAGGGTGGTTGGTTTCCTTCGCCAGTCATTCCGAGTCATTCTGTTGATCTTCCAGACCCTTATTGCCAATGTAGGTGCCCCCCCACCTTTTCGAAAAACAGATCCCACAAGCGGTCGATCCTTGGAACGATCCACTTTTTCCATGTTTGTCAGTCTCTTGTTGCTCGTGGCCCCTCGTACCTCTTGAGCCTCATACGTGAAAAGGAGAAGAAGAAGGTCCTCTACGTGGCCTTTGGCTCGGAAGTGCGTGTGGGAAAGGCTCACGCGACTCTCTTGGTGGAGGCATTCAAACTGGGAGCTTTCACCGTGACATGGCACCGACACATCAGCACACCGACGTCGACGTGGGTGTGTTCATCGGGAGATCCGTTGTAGTGCTTCGGTTCCCCTTTTTGCCCGGCCGGCATCGCTACGAACGTAGCAAGTGCATCGCTGCTAGTAACAAGAAGCTACGAACGTAGCTAGGACTAGTACCACTGGATAAACCTAGGCTACTAGTAACAAGTGCATCGCTAGTAGTAACAGGTGCCTTACTAGTAGTAACAAGAAGCTAGTAGAAACAAGTGCATCGCTACTAGTAACAAGTGCCTAGGCTATACTTTCTCGACCTCTCGAGCTACTAGTAACAGGTGCCACGCTAGTAGTAACAAGTGCCTTACTAGTAGTAACAAGAAGCTAGTAGAATTAATTAGAATTAATAGCAAACATTGTTTCTACTAGTAAGGCACTTGTTCCTACTAGCGTGGCACTTGTTACTAGTAGCTAGGACTAACACTGGATAAACCTTATAGTAACAAGTGCCTTACTAGTAGTAACAAGAAGCTATTAGAATTAAATTATCATAGCTTTTTGTTACTACTAGTAAGGCACCTGTTACTACTAGCGTGGCACTTGTTACTACGCTATACTTTCTCGACCTCTCGAGCTCCCAGGTTCTTTGGGCGACGAAGGTGGCTCCACCAGTGCCCGTGCCCGAGCACGTGCTGGTCACCAAATTCGCACCTCAACGAGCGGTCCTAAACCATCCGGCCGTTTTTGGATTTGTGTCCCATGGTGGGATGAATAGCGTGACACTGGGGCAGTAGCAAGTTCTCTATTTTTTGTCAGCTCTTTTGGCTTCAGATGCTATAATTATACAAGTAAGCCAGTCTTGTCCACAGTTCAGCTCGTGCACGATCAATTTCATGTTCAATACTTCAAAGACATTCAAAGACAACATATAACTTAACGTGTTTTTTGCTGAGGTGAATGAAGCCCTGGCTTTTGGCAAGCCCATGGCCATCATGCCCTTCATGGCAGATCAGATGATGGTGGCGGTGGTTCACCGTGATCTCGGTGTCGCTGTCTTGGTGAACAAGAATGAGGCAACTCCTCAAAACCCAGGTTGGAGGCCATCGCTTTTAGTTTGGAGGCCATCGCTATTAGGCGAAGTTAGCTTCTTTTATATTTATTGTTTTGAACTGCTATTAAGGACGCTACTAGGGGCTGGGCATCGCTACGAACGGAGCGATCGGACGCTACGAACGGGGCGTCATTTGGCCGTCAATGAGGCAACTCCTCAGAGCCTCACGGAGTCCATTCGCCAGATTGCCAGTGAAGCGTACCAACGACGATCAGCACAGATCCGAAAGCTGAATGAAGAACGAAAAGATATGTCTCGAGCAGTTGAGGTGATTGTGAACCAAGCAACTGGAGCATTCCGCTTGCATGTCCCACCTTGTCCACATATTCTGATTCGATGCATTCCATTGTTCCTGACGCTTTTGATTTGGGGAGCCTGCTGCAACTGCTGTGGCTGCTTGCATGTACGTCCTCAGATTCCTTGCGCATGCTGCAGATCAGGAAAGTCCAGCGCAAAGGCAAATGGACGGACGAAACAGGATTGATTTGCAACGTTTGTCAGCGCACATTACATTGTTCCATACAATTTTGATCTGGGGAGCCTGCTGCAACTGCTGCGGCTGCTTGCATGTGCGTCCTCTGATGTCTTGTCCATGCAGATCAGGAACGTCCAGGGCAACTGGACGGATGAAACAGGACTGATCTGCACGTTTTCAAAGCTCCACAGCGCGTAGTGCGCATTGTGACATAGTGTGTTGAAAGAGACAAGCCGATTGGGTGAGGGGCACCGGGAGAGCATACTACTGGGGCAGCACTAAGACATTACGAGGGAGGCTAGCCTGATTAGATTCCGTGTTGAAAGTCTGATGACTTTGGAATGTCAAGTGGAAAGAGTCTGATGATGTCTGATGTATGTTAGATGTTTCACTACGGCCAGAACGCAGTTGCTACATGCCTTCTTCAAGAATGCACCTCATCCAGCTCCTTCCATCCACTCCACCGTGTTGTTGTCACTTGCGACTCCGTCCCAGTCCATAAGGCACGAGTTAGAGTTCGTGATGTCCAAAAGGAGAGGCGACCCCGGCGCCAGTTGACGGCAAACAACCTGCAGAACCCCAAAGCTGAGGAAAGCACCTCATTTCGGCAGATGTGTGCTATGATGAAGTTCTGCTTCAGTGGGTTGCTAGGAGTTGAGAAGCGGGGACAAGTTGCGACTTGTTTTCTTTTGGTGAGTCTTATGAATGTCGCGCCTCGATCGGCGGTCGCATATTTTCTTGGGGTAGTTGAGCGTTTGATGTACTTGGAGGAAACAAAAATAGCGAACAGTTCCTTTGAATGTTCGTTCCAGATGTCCAGCTTGTTTTGCCTCTCATTCTCCAGGCCAATTGAAGGCACAGAAGCCTGGTGGATTGAAAAGAGAAGCAAGGAAGAAAAGGACCGTGGTATGGCTTGGCTTCTATCTTTCTCATCGTCTTGGTATGAACCAAGTAGCTAGGTATTGAGTCTTCTTGTTGAGGAAGGTATGTCTCAAGTCCTAAGATGGTCGGGCAGCACCAGGATTTGAAGACGACGAAGTTCTCTGCACTGCTTCAGGAGATGCCAGCTTAATAGTTGCGGTTGAGGAAGCTAGTCTAGAGCAGGCAACATGATTGTGGACACAGTGCTCAGCTCACCCTAGAATCACTAGAATCTGCGGGCAGGAACTAGTAGCTAGTATGACTGGAAGAGGACATATATATATATATATACATACATACTATATATACTATATATATACTATATAATTATCGACTAGTATGTGTGTGAAGAGACTAGGGGGGTAGTGCTTGATGTTCTTGGTAGACTCCAGGCAGCAAGCACCCACTTTCCCCTTCACGCAGATGGTGCACTGACTGTGAGGAATCTGTTTTGATGGCCATGCAGCACCCATTTCCCACAAAATGACCGTAAAAACGGGCCACCAGGAATCGATCTACCAGGCTTGCCGAATAGATGTGACTCCTCGTCACCACCCGGTCTACCCTAAAACGGACTCTACCCGGTCCCTCACAAGTGGCTCCAAGCTGCTTCGCGCATCGCGAAGGAGTTGGTCAGTGCATTGGCATCAGAAACAGCCATGGAGGTGCGGCCCTTTGTGACGATTCAGATGGAATCAGAATAGCAGCGGGTGTGAGCACACCGACGGGTGTATTATATACTGTATGTATGAAAACACGGAAGTGGAAACTCGTGTTGTATCGCGACCGCACGAAGTGTCGAGATGGAATCGAAAACGTGTCAACGTCTTTTCTAGCATGTGCGTAGCACGTGTGAGGTCTCAAGGGGCCCCTGCGGGGTGCAGGAGAGCCAAGTGGCAGCAACCGGAACGGTCAAAAGCTGCTCAACTCAAGTTGTACGGCGTACAATTCACACCGGTGGTGGTCTTTAGTACGACCTCCAAAACTCCAAATGCTTCTGGCTGCAAAAGGCGCAGCAGTTCCACTGTCTGAGCTGGGTGGCATCAGAGGAGGCCAAAGCTTGACAGTCTGCATAGGTGTGGTAGGACTTTCCAGTGCGGGTGGTGATGACCGCATCTGGGACCCAACTTCTGGAGAGCTGATCACGTACCGCAGCTAAACGGTTGTGCGCATCGATCCAGTTGTCGCGGGCCTTCTTGTACTCGGTGTCAATCTCGCGCATCTCGATCCTCATGTACTCTCGGATGTCGATGAGCTGTTCAATCTCTTCTTC